CAAGCAGGAGCCTCTAGTGACCAGGCCATGCCCGTTCTTCTGCTCTCTCTCTGTCTCTGCACTCCCTGCCTTAGTGTGAAACTCAAGGTTAAAAAATATATATATATAAATGACTTACTTCTATTTTTGGGTCATACCCTACTTCTTCCAGCTTTCATGCCTTTGTTCACTTGGTCCTCTTTTTCTGTAAGGGGTCCCCTACCCACTCACCTTAGGCAGCACCCTGTTCTTAGTACAAACTCATGCCCTTAGCCTGTAGGGGTAGATTAATCCAAGAATTTAATATGTTCAGGAATCTTCACTCTTATTCCCACAGAGCCAGAGTGATTAGATTATTTTAGGGAAATAAAGATGAAAGGTGTGTGGGAATAAGTCCTGAAGGCAAGCTAGGGGTAGAGCAGGGCTCCACTGGCCATTCCTGCCTTCTGCCAGTCCGCATGGCTACTTCCCAGGATGCAGCAGTGTCTTAGCCTAAGTGCCCTCAAAAAAGCACAGCCTGAGTCATCAGCCTGTTATGCAGGCATATTTATTTAGGAAAATGTCCCAGTGTACAGAACTGGAAAATTGGGAAGAGTAAAGTAGGAAAAGAGGGCATGGGCAACTGGGGTTCATCTGCCTAAAACGTGAAAGAAGGGGAAATATTTATTCATTGCCTCCTGTTACTTGTTGGGCAAGAGATTTTCCATGGTATTGACAGAGAAACTTTGGGGAAGAAAGAGACCTGGTACAGCTGAGTTGAGGAGCTGTAACTTCACATTTGCACACAGTTGGTGGCTACAGTAATGGTAGGTGGAAACAGTGGGCCCAGAGATGTGATCATCCTGGATTGTACTAAATATCAATTATGAAAGATTCAAAATGATTACAGGGCAAAAAGAATTTAACACCCAAAGCTTCCATTCTAAAGATTCTTCCATTTCTTTAAGAGTCATTTATTGCATGAGTTCAAAGATTGTATGTAAAAACCTGGCCATCAACTCTTGCAAAAGTTGTTGTCCTGGAAAAACAAATGCTCATACAGGAGAATAAGCAGTATACTATCCATCCCTGGGCTTATAAATATTTGTAAATCTTGGTTGATGGAGATCTAATGAATTCAAATGCCATCTTAGAAAGAAGATAACCATGACCAAAAAGAAAATTTCTTTTTAGTTTATTTCTGAAAACAAGTGATTTTGATTAAGCCATTCCCAGGAATCAAATCTACACAATCTACAAATGTTGGATGCTTCTGGACAGGCTTAATTTGCTTCATTTTTTGGCCACTTCTGTACAGAAAATGGAATTCTAATTTCGCTATGTATTCCTCATTTGTGTCAGTTACAGGCTAAGTCTGGAGACTGTACAGCAAACACTCTCTCTTTCTTCAGTCCCGAGAAATAGATGGCAGATTTAGACAGCGTGATTAATGCTGAGGACAAACTCTTTAAACCTGTGAAACATCATGAAGTGTCCAGGCTGAGAAAGTAGATATTTTGGATTGTCATATTTGAGCAAATAGGAACTCAGCAAAAAATTCGATTTCCTTTCTAGGAAGCTACCAGGTAAAGCATGCATGTCCACTGATTTTATTTTGGTGGTATTCTAAATTGATTGAGAGACAAAAACTTTTTTTAAAACAAACTTTCCATTTGGAAATAATTTTAAATTCACAAAAGAAGCAAAATGGTACAGTTTCAGTCTCCCCTTTATTGAGTTGCCATTTTGAACATTTTGCATCACCGCCGTACATTTGCCAAAGCTGAGAAGCCAACAGTAGCACATTGCTATTAACTCCAGGCTTTATGTGTGTTTCACCAGTTTGCCCTCTTGCAGTCCTTCTGTTCCAGGATGTGGTTATTTGTCATGTCTTCATATTTTCCCCTGTGGACTGTGACAGTTTCTTAGTCTTTTCCTATTTTTCATGACCTTGAAAGTTTTGAAGAGTATGTACTAGTCAGCTATTTAATATTCTTCAACTTAGTTTTGAAGAATGTTTCTCCCATGGTTAGATTTGGCTTATAAATTTGGGGAAGAAATACCAAACAGGTGACATACCCTTATCATCACCCTATCACACCAGGGGGTACATAACATCCACCTGACATCACACTGATGATATTAACCTTAATCATTTTCTTAAGGGGATAAATTTTTGCCAGATTTCTCCATGGGTTTCTCCACAGTAGAATAACTATTACCATTATCAGATTTGGACACTGTAAGAAAATCTAACAAGCTCTATCAATGCCACAGGAGAGAGTTGTGCTGTTAGTGAAACAAAACAATAGAAATATATGACCATTTTGCTGTATTTACATTTAAAATAAGCAAACTTGAATCATATGACTCAGGGAGTCACAAACAGATTTTTAAAAATTATTCCTCTCTGCAAGTTCTTACTCATATATCACAGAACCTTTCCATCATAGCATAATGGTTGAAAGCCATTCTTTCTGGTTTTGAGAACCAGGCTCAGTATCTTGTGACCTTAGGGAAGTTATTTAGCCTTGCTGCGCCTCAGTTTTTTATCTGTAACCTAAGAGTCCCAGATCTGTTTTATAGGGATGTTTGGGAGGTTGAATGGGTCAATATTTGTAAAACTGTTAGAAAAGCCCTGGAACTTAGCACAAAATGAATGTGCTGCAGCTGGGGGTAAGTGAAGATGTAAGGTAACTTGCTCATGGGCTGTGGCAATAAATAAAGTGATCTGCTTCATATTTATGCAGTCTTGTAAGCTCTTATAACTTGTTAGCTATTATGTGTGTTGAAGAAAAAAGAAAAATTTCTGTGACCTGGTAAAATTTGAGAGATTAGAGAAAAAAAGTCTTTATGCCTTTCTGACTTTTATAAACTTTATAAAATGAGCCTGTATTAAATTTACAATTAGAAAACAAAACAACACATCTTTCACATTTTAAAGAATAGCTTTTTTACTTCTGGGTGAGCTTCTCATCGAATCCCAGAAGATGACTGATAGCAAGAGGAGTAACTACACAAACTCTCAATTACTCATAATCTAGTCACATATTTTATAAGCTTTAGATTATCTCTTATTTCCTGCTGCTTAACACAAATTTTAATGTCCCTTTAATTTCCCTGGTTTTTGTCTCAGGAACATAGTGATAAACACTAGAATATTTTTGAAGATAGTCATTCATTTTGTAAGTCATTTCCAATAAATAAGATGCAGAGTCTTTAATTCAAACTCCCTTTTTAAGTATGAAGTGATTGAAAGTAGGACTACAATATAAATCAATGGTAAAGGTCAACATGTTGTAAGAAAAAAAAAACCAAAACAGGTAAGTGCATCTCCTAGTAGAGTTCAGATGTGCATTGCTCTTAGAAAGTCTGATGCAGAAATATTTAAATGTGGAAAGAAAAACTGAGGAGTGAACCTTTCATTACATTGGTTTTTTGTTGTGGTTTTGTTGTTTTTTTTTCTTTATAGGATTCACACAGGTGGAGTTTCTGTGTAGGCAATGTTGGAAAGAGCTATTTCCATTTTATTTAACAAACATTTATACGGCACTTAATCCATGCTGGCTCACACAAATGACTCATTTCTCATAACTACATTGGGATAGGCAAAGAAACCTTTAACTTGTAGGTGATAGGTGGCAGCTAAATGCAGGCGGCTTCACTGCACCCCCAGGCGGCCGGCTGTGGGGTACAGACTCCGACCCACGGAGCTGGGCTATCTGGAGCCCTGTTCCCGCGCTCATCCTTGGGCCAGAAACCATCCCTTTCTTCTCTCCTACCTCCCACCGTATTCCATGACCCCAAGAGATCTGGCTCCAATCCGGATAGTTACTCTCAAACCCTCTATACCTAATGTTGAATCAATCAATGTTTTACTATTTGAAAAAATAGAAAAGGCATCGGGTTAAAAGATTGAAATTCTTGGTCAGAAAACAGAGACTTGTCAATGTTTCTAGAGAACGGGGGGACCAACACTGAAGGTCCTGTAGTAAATGAAACGGGGCTTTAAGAGCGATGGGACTTTCCATAGTTCATCCCCATTTATCCAGAGCAAGGGCGCAGCAGGTCCCTGCTCTCTAGTGTTCAGGTGGTGTTTCGTCCAAGGAGATAGTTCAGAAACCGTGAACCCTTGTGTCTGCCCTAGACTCCAGTCCTGACCGCCAGTGACCGCCAGTCCTGTATGTCATAGTTCAAATCTGACCCCTACGCATAACAAAGAGATCTCCCAGGAATTTTGCAAGTTCAACATTGCAGAAAGACTAAGGGATTTCAGCAAGATACGGAAGAGGTCCTATAACAGCCCTCAATTTTCATTGAAATTAACATTGGATTCATCTTGTGACACTTATTCCTCTTATCACCAAATGGAAAATGAAACGAAGACATTCGATGTGTGATCTAAGAATACAAAACAAGGGAACAAGAGATAAGTGCGGTATTTTTAACAGAGCATTCATTATATATATGGAATACATATAAATATTACAGATAGATAGATGGTAGATAAGTAAAATTTATCCCCGCACCTCTCCTTGATTCCCCAGGTCTATTAATTAACAGAGACAACTCTTTCGCCCTAAAGATGTGCCACCGTTCTTGCACGGTCTCCTGGATCCGCCCCCAGCCCCTCCCCTCCCCGTTCACTGGGGTCACTGGGCGCCCATGGTCGTCCCTCGCAGGCAGCAGCGCCTGCGTCGCGGGGACTCCCACCACCCCCTTTGGGGATTTGGGCGGAAAGAGAAGATCGCAGAGTCCGCCGAGTCACGCGGGAGGCCAGCCAGGGCGGCACCCTTGGGTCCCCCACCCCAACTACCCTCAGGGGTGGTGCCTCGCCTGCCTTCCCGCCCCAAGAACGACCTGCAGGTCCGGGAATTTCCCGGGCCCGGGGGCTGCGAACTTCCCTCCCCGACTATGGATAAAAGGGGTTCGTCTGGTTCGGGGAGCCACAGACCGCGCTCTCCTGCCAGCTCTCGCGCCAGCTCTCGTGTTCCAAGCAGTAGCTCCAGGCACCGCCGCCCCGACCCTCCGAGCTGAGCACCATGGCCCGCACCGCCACCGCCGCCGTCCCCCGCGCCCCCGGACTCCTCCGGGCCGCGCTGCTGCTCCTGCTCCTGGTCGCCGCCTGCCGGGGCGCTGCAGGTGAGACTCGGGGCCCTGGGACCCAAGGGCGGGACAGGGGACGACGCGTGGGCGCCCTTGGGGGACAGCTCCCCTAACCGAGTCTGTTGTCCCCGCAGGGGCGCCCGTGGCCAGTGAACTTCGCTGCCAGTGCTTGCAGACCTCGGAGCGAATTCCCTTCAAGCAGATCCAGAGTGTGGAGGTGACCACCCCAGGAGCCCACTGCGCCCAAACCGAAGTCATGTAAGTGCCAGGAGGCTTTGCAGCTGCTACCACAGTCCTTGTCACCTCCACAATCCAGATGCCCCCACCCTGACCCCCAGCCCATCTCCCGTCTCACGTGGGTTCTCCCTTCTCTCTGCAGAGCCACGTTCAAGAATGGGCAGAAAGCTTGCCTCAACCCCGAAGCCCCCATGGTGAAGAAAATGATCGAAAAGATGCTAAACAAGTAAGTTATCTGACTAGAGTCATTGAGGACAGATACTGGAATCTGCCTTCTGAAAATTGTATCAGGGAAACCCAGACTTTAGCTGAAGCAGTGAAAAGTCATTTTCTTACAATTAAATTTGCCATGAAGGTCATTAATCTGCTCTGGTCCAGAAGGATATTTCCTGGGCTCTCCATCCCCATTCCTCTCTCCATCCCCATTCAGATGAATGCGGGTAAAACTGCCTTCTTTAAAATTCTCCTTGGTGTTGGGCAGTTATGCTAAAAAGCTTTCCACCTGTTAAAAGAGCAGGGATTCTTCCCCTCCTCCCCTGGTTCTTTCTTGGTTTCACACCAGAAAAACAGAGCCCTCGTTTCTTTGCAACACAGGCCCTAAGACTAGTTAGTGGTAAAGAGCAGGGACCTTGTAGCAACACTGTACCGAGTACAAATCTGGGTTTGACCCCCTATTAGCCTTATACCTCAAGGGCAATTCTTTAGCTTATCTACACTCCATAAAAGCTGGGAAACAATAGCAGTTACCACCTGGGGTTGCTCTGAGGCTTAAGTGAGGCCCAACGTGAGATGATCCAATGTCACTCCCCTTGGCGCTTACCTACCCAAGGGGTTCTGGCTCTTAGCAGCCAATAATTTAGTAAGGACCACAGACCCTGCCTCTCCCCGCCCCCCCCCCCCGCCCCCACAGTCCTAAATAAGAGTATTCAAGAGCTAAGAGGTCTCAGACGCATAGTCTAGAAACAGCCACTTTGTGCCAGGCTGGAGAAAACTAGATTGAGAAAACTTTGAAATCTAGAGAGCAGGACAAGAGGAAAGAGCCTGTGCAGATGGCTTTTCTGAGCAACTTCTAAGGATCATCTTTTTCCTCTTTATAGGGGTAGTTCCAACTAACCAGAGGAAGCAGGAAGCTGATGGGTGGCCATACCTGAAGCAGGCCGTGCCATATGGAAATCAAAGAGGGAAAAGAGGAATCATCAGCTCCCAAAGCCACCTGGATTGGGCTTCGTGTGTTTGAGCATCTCTTAGGAGAGTTCTTTTACTTACTTATTTATTTGTTGGTTGGTTTTCAAATATTTTATTTTAATATTTTACATATATAATCATTGAGGGTGTGACTGACTCTACTTGTGCACTGTAGTTGTGTGTGTGTTATTTTTATTGTTTATTTTATGACAAACCCATGTTAGTCCAGTTCTGCTTCTTATTTAATATGAAGGTAAAATGTTTGCATATATTCTCTAGTCGTTCAATTAATACTTCCAAGGAGCCCACAGTAATGCCAGCTGCTATGACAGAGGACGGGGGACCCAAGCAATAGTGAGGTCATTGTCAGGATAGGAGAATGCATGTGTACTTCTATTGTTGTAACCGTTTAAAAGAATTTCGGTTGTTATTTATTGGGACAATTTCACAGTGTGTGATCAACATTTCTAATGTTGAAGCTTTAAGAACTACGATGTTCTAGACATCCCTTGGACATTTCATGTCTTTCTTGTAAGGCATAATGCCTTGTTTAGTGTTAATTATGCAATGTTTGTGTCTTAAAACAAAGAGTTTTAAGTACTTACTGATGTTTACGCAAAAAAAATAAAGTATTTCAAAATAAACAATGTTTGTTTCATTTTCTGGGAAAAAAGCAACTATCTTTACTGGCTAATCTTATGATTTACATCACTGTTTCTCAACATTTTTTTTCTCCTGCACATTCAATTGGCAGCCATAGAAATCAAGCTATAAGTTATGCTTAACTTCATCTGGTGAGAGCTGTCAGTCCCCTTGGCTCTCCCCTGCCCAAGAATGTGCTTTTCCAACCATGAGCTGTCCCCTCCCCATTCAGTGCAAGAGTCACTGATATACCGGGGTGGACAAAAGTAGGCTTACAGTTGTTTGTATAGAAAAAGATATTAACAAATACTAATACAAGAACAAACCCTGTGTTTCATGTACTCACAACTGTAAACCTACTAATTTTGCCCACCCCTATATACTGCTCTTTTTTATAAGGAACTCCATGCTAACTTTCCATTCAAATTTACCTCCTTAAAAACACATTTTTATAGTTACCTTAACAAGGACTCTCATTTCAATGTTTTGCTGAATGGTTTTTCTAACAATTATTGACAGTTTAATGAAGCTGGCAATGAAACTGTGTTGTTGTAGGGGAGGAAAGAGTAATTGGGGGAAAGGGGACAACTGTAATTGAACAACAATAAAAAAAATATAAAAAAAGATTAAAAAAGAAATAGTGGTAAAGTGGATTTTTCATTCAAAACTCAAATAATTTGTATCATGAGTAGAAGCAGAAAAAGTGAATGTCTGAGTACTTCACCCAGGAAAATATCTAATTGATAGTTGGATTCAATTTTTTAATCTTCATTTATAAGGAACTACAGGTTAGTTTAATGTTTATCCCAATCCTTTATGTCTATTTATCAAATAGAATGGTTTTAAGATAGGAGTGCATTAGTTCCCCCTTTTCCTAGTGCAATTTTTATGGAACCTGATAGATTGTTTAGCTTGAGAAAGTCCTCTGAAATTTGGTATTCAGTACTGCCCCGGGTTGACAGTAGCACTCCAGGTTTCCAAGACAAATAAAACTGCTATGTCAAAGGAAGAAAGACCCTATAATCTGTAAGAAACCACACTCCAAACCTTAAAAGCAGGGTTGTTTGTGGATGTGTGGGGTGTGTATTTATCTCTGATTCAGGACTCATTCAGGAAATCTGGAACCCTAGGAAAAAGCCTTCAGCAGAGGCAAGAAGGCAAAATTAGCAATCTAAAGACTTGAGATCAAGTTCTGGCTTGCCCCAAGTAGCTGGGTAAATAAGGGCTCTAAGTAGCAAGGAACAACCTCTGTTAGGGTTTGTCTGTTTGTTTGTTTTTGCACATGAAAGTTAAAAATAATCTCTCATAACTCCAACTTTATTAGTTAGTTATAAATGAAATGAAAAGAAAATTTTGTGAACTGTACAGAAGTAAATAAATGCAAACCATTCTAGAAGTTCCATAAAGGCCATTCATTCCCTAATTGCAAGTCAAAAGACACTAGAAAATATTTACAAGTAGTATTACAAGGGCACAATAAAGCCCTCACATACCTAAGACCACTTCTCGTACTGAAACATTGTCTTGATCCTTCTGGACTCTCCACTTAGCTCTTGTCAATAAAGAACATGGAGCATAAAAAAGAGAAAAGAGATGTTTCTGTTTATATGGTGGTTAAAGACAGGTTTCAAAGGATCAAATAAATTTTGGAGTAGATTTCATGTCTCTTGTTAACTGTGTGATCTTGGGCAAGTTTCTTGACTTTACTTAACCTCATTTTGCCTCTGCAGAATGAATATAATAACAGAATACACTTTCTGAAGTTGTTGCAGGAATGGCTTCAGAAATATGCCATTGGTTCTCAGGCCAACTTCATGGGCATTATCTCAGTGTCGGTTCTGGATTGAGCGGGTATGTAGTTCAGTTTTCACACCAAGTTGCCCTGAGGCTTTACACATACAAAGCAGTTTTCCATTAAGAGTATTATGTCAGGAAATGGGACACAAGGGTATGTGAAATGTGGTCATGGGGTGAAGGAAGTAAGAAAAGAAGACTACGTGACCCATCACAACTTTGTAGGTCATCAGCAGGAAAGAGCAACGGTAGCAGTGACTGAGGTTTTCTGAGCTGTGTTGCCAAAGGAGCTAGAGTCAGAAAGAAGAAAATATGGCTGACCCCATGCTCCTTGTGAGTCTTGCTGTGTGAGTTCTGAGATGTCTTCACAGGACTTCTAGGAATAACTAGAGAGACACTCGGGGATGGCAGTGATGGAAGACCTGCAATAGCATATTGGGGACAATCTAATGTAACAACAGATACTGTTTCTCTCTTTTTTCTGATTACCCACATAAATAATAATGGAAAGGGCTAGTCCTCTCGTCACCATGGATGCCCCGCTCCATATCCCTTCTGCATAAGAATTAGTTTTACAGTTGCAATGAGCAACATACATTCTTGTTGACAGCTTCTCCGCTCAATCTCCTTCATCCTTCTGAGTCTCTTCTTGAAGTCTCTCTCCATTTGAGGGGGGAAGAGGGAAAAGGCAGAGGGAGTTTTCTCGGCTCACAAGCAGGATGGCCTGTGATAGTATGCGCTCAGTAGCAACCCTCACTGAGGGGCAGGAGTTAATGGGTGAATATTCTATTTTCCAGTCCCCATGGTTGTACAGTTTTAGAAGGTACACTATATATCTATTCCTACATCAATATCTGTATCTAAATCTACCTATATCTATATCTACACTTATGTCCATGCTTGCATCGTCTACATATATCTATATCTACATATATCTATATCTACATGCTTTCTAATTCATGTTATTTTTACTTTCTCTTTTAAACCCTTGAGCATAGCTATTTTAAAATTCTTATTTACTAATTTGATCATTCTGTCATTTCTGAGTCTATTTCTGTTGACTGATTTTTTCTTCCGGTTATGGGTCACATTTTTTTATTTCTTGGCATGTGTAGTAATTTTTGATTGGGCGTAAGAAATTTTGAATCTTGTGTTGATGAGTGTTGAGATTTTTTCTTCCTTTAGTCTTGATTTCTGTTCTGGCAGGCAAGTAAGTTACTGGAGCATCAACTTGATATTTCTGAGGCTGTTTTTCAGCTTTATTAGGGTGGTCTAGAGAAAGAGTTCTTTGCCCTAGGGCTGCATGACTAAGTCATGTCCCTTCTGAGTCTTTACTGAATGTGCTGAGTGTTCACAATATCTCTCTACACTAAGACAGACTTCAGTTATCTTCCTATCACATGTGAGGTCTGAGAATTGCTCACTTTCGCCCTATGCATGTGTGATTTTTTATTGATCAAAGAGACCCAATGGAACCTCGTTGCAGATTCTGGAGCTCTATTTTTCTTAACGGGTGTCTCCTTTCTGCAGATCAACTCCCTCAGTTCTAGTTACCTCAGTTTTCCTGTGGCTCCTCAACTCATCAAGACCACTGTGATCTCCTTGGGGTCTTTCTCCTAGCTCAGTGTTCCAGAATTGCTGCAGCAAAACGCTGAGGTAATTATGGACCTAAACTTGTTTTGTTTCTTTTCTCAGGGACCCTAGTCTTTTGGTGACTATTGCCTAATGTCTAAAACAATTGCTTCATATATTTTGTTTAGGTTTCCAGTTGTTTATGGTAGAAGGTTAGGACTATTTCTTTTTACTCCAGCATGGCTATAAATGGAATTCTTGGTGGAAAAATACTGAGGAGCATTGTACAAAGTTTCTGAGAGTTTCTATAGCAAAATTAGCTCTAGTTATCTACAGTGATATCTCATTTATGATATAGACTTTATTAGCTGTTTTTCTCTTTCCTACTCCACATTCCCCCACTTCCTTATTTGTTCTTCCTATAATCATCTTCAAGATAAACTAGTGCATATTACTGTTTGCATCAGAATCTGCTTTTGGAAGAATCCAAATTAGATCACTTGGATTCACTCAAAATTAAAAATCAAGGCTAAGACTTTTATACTATTTTATTAGGAGTACAATACCAAAGAATCTGGAGGGAGAACAATGTAAAGTGGAGCAGGGAAAACTGATAATAGGGAAGTGCACAACCATAACCACACTGACCATCACTAAGTAAAATGAATTTCTTCACTTCCCAAGTAGGTATTGCATTTGTTTTCTTATTCTGAAGAAACTGTGAAACCAACTCAAATCAAGAAATAGGAGTTGCTAGGTTTACATTAGAGAGTCACAGATCACTCAAACAGTATGGTATCAGTCTCTGATTTTTCTTTCTTGCCTGAAGTTGAAGTCAAACCCTGGAAGCCATTTTTGTAAGGCCCTAAAGTGGATGTGGTTGGGGAAAGAATCAACCAAACCTACACCCAGGACCTAATTTTCACCTGTGAAGATGATGGTACTACTATTGACATTTTGTTCTCCAAATTAAAAGTGATTTTTTTAAAAAGTGAGAAGTCATTGAAATTGTACCTTTTGCTTTCAGCAGTTCCCTGAAGAAGAA